TGTAGATTAATCTCCCCTGACGTGTGGGGAGATAATCGTCTATGACGACATCCACCCATTCCCCACACTGCCAGAACTTAAAATGGAATATTCCAGCATACTTTCGGCCTTTACCCCAATCCTGCTGCTCAATATCGGGAACTATCTGTAATAAGTCAAAAAGATAATTATGAATGTATGTCATTGAAGTGTCCAGTTCGAGAGATTTTATCTTTGCTAGCCAAGGGTTTTCTGCTCCCCATAAACGGACCAAAAACCCTGGACTAGCGAAGATGATGGATTTTTATTACAATTCTCAGTTAACCTTGAACTTTCAGTAAGGCGTGGTATTTTCGACGTTACATGATTAGCGTCTGAAATTTACACAGCCTTTCATTCACTGTTGAAATAGACATTCGTCAGCAAATGTCAACGAGTGTATAAATGATCCAATGATAACGTTCCGTACGACAGAGAGGTGGGGCTTAAGTTGTCTCATCGTTGACAACAATGATTTAAAGTTACTGATGTTATTAATTTCTTAACCAATGAGAATCTATTTGCCATTTGAGAGACGTTAATTACGTAGCGTCGAGAAAGTCATACCCTATTTAAAGTCCAAGGTTAACTGAGAATCGCATTATTTCCATTCACGCATGTATGGCAATATCTTAGAAATTTACAGCCTTTAATTTCCCTTGTCGTTCGTTTTTCTCTCACACAACTCACGTACAGTAAAACTTTGCGACATTACAGTGTAGTAAACTGATTACAAAATGTTTTAATTAAATCACTATTTCATGTAATTATTCCAGATTAACGTATTAAATATCTAACAAAAGGATGGTTTTAAAATTATTAACTTAAATTAACAAACGTCCCTGTTTGTGACATATGCGAGCCACAAAACAAGCGAGTGATTGAGCCATTGATTATTTAGTTCAGTAAGAATTTTCAACGTTTACCAAATCTGATCGTTAAGGTTATAATGTATATAGAGAAAAATACATGGACATGTACCTTTCTCAGAAGATTTTTCCGTTCTGCAATACAGGCACAGGCTGCCACAAACCAGCAGTTACCCAGGGAACCTTGGGAAAAGTCGTCTGCACTACTGCCCTCAGTGAAAAACCTGGGATCGGAGACAATTTCCTGGAATTAAAAATGTGTGAGATACTACAGTAAACTATCATGTAACATCAATTTTCTTTACATAATACATTTCTATAGAAGTTTATAATTAACCAATAGAGTCATCGAAATCCAAAATATCAGAAACTTGATCAAATCTAGACATTTAAACATTCTGTGCAGTCAATATGAAATATTTATTTATTTATTTTTTTAATAACACCCGTTATCAATACGTTCTACCACAAAGTTGCATTTATAATACATTGTTTTTTGAAACTTATACTTGTAATAGAAAACCTTTATGAACAATTAAAGAGGCACGAGTGACAGTACTCACTTCCATCAGCTCATACATTTACTTATATAAAACTATTTGTTGAATTTAAAATCATATTTGGAATACATTGCTTTTTACTTTTATGTCAAATATCTTGATGCGAGCCATTTTCAGAGGTGTATGAGAGAGTAACGAACGACAATTCTGCATGAGAGTTGTCTGCGCTTTTGTGATTGTAACGTCACAGTTATCTGACGTTTTGATGACGTCATAATCATCACCATAAACAAAGGAACTAAGCAGAAAGCGGGTCAGTATGTGAATTTTGCAGATTTGGAAATATTTACATGTACTAAAATTGGTTAATTTACGAAGTAAAATTCTGAGTTACAGTTAAAAATAAAAATTTGTGAACATTATTTTTACAATTTCTTTTTATAGAATTCTGAAACAAAATGGACTACAGCGAAATACTTGATTTCAGTGACAAAGGTGTAAGCACTGATAAGTTTATAATTAATAAGTACTAATATATGCAATACTTAGACTTTAATTGCTTGAATGTTTTGTTCACTTTATTTGTTTTTTTTCTGAATATTTAAAAAGAGATGTATGTGTTTTTTGTAATTTAATTAACTTATGTCATTAATTGTCTTAGTTCAGAAGATCAAACTAGTGATCTTGAAGTTCGGATATAATAAGGTCGAGGAGGCTGAAAGGCAAGAGAGATTGGAGGTATTATTTTTAGAGATAATTCCTTACCATTATGAGGCCTTTTCTGTATTATATGATACATTTTTGTTATGAAATTAAAAAAATAAAACTAATACGCTCTGTTCGTGTGCATCAAGTCTCCTAGAATCCTTGTTCAATTTTTTAAATTATTTTTGTAAGGTAGTAGAGTTAGAAGACAAGCAAAGAATGGAGATAAAGAAATACAGTGAAATACTTGATTTCAGTGACAAAGGGGTAAGCATGTGTTTATGTTTGATACTGATTTACGTATTAAAGACTTAAATTGCTGAATTTTTTTATTCATTCTATTTCTTTTCTTTTTTCTGAACACATAAAAGAAGATATTGGTGTTTTGTTTTATATTTATCGTATGTCATTAATTGATTTTTTAAGGAAACCAAACTGGAGATACTAAAGCTCATCTATAATTGGGTGGAGGAGGTTGAGAGGCAAGAGAAATTGGAGGAACATATTTAGTGAGTTTATCTATTAGTGATAATTGCTTACCATTATGTGGCCTAACTTTTTAGTAACATATGGTACACTGTTGTTACGAAATTGATACATACTAGTACTGTTCATGAAGTTTCCTAAAATCCTTGTCTTATTTTGTATTTAATTATTGTGTAAGGCAATGGAGTTAGAAGACAAGAAAAGAGATTGTAAAGCTAGCAATCATGAAGAGGGTTCACCAAGAAATGATTGTAAGTCAATTTGAAATGATAGCAAGAAAATATATCACGAACTGTGGGAAGGATACAGTGAGATATGAAGGACCCCCCCCCCCCAACCAGTCCAGTTTAATTCATCCGACCAATCACAATGCTAAACTAAAATATAAATTCTTCAATTAATTAATTATGTTAAAGTTAAAATAATTATAAGCAATCGAGAAGCACAAAATGCAGACATCCATAATGCAGAAAAGGGAGTTGATGCAGGGGGTCCATAGATATCTGATGATATTTGTAGTACTTAGTAATTCATGTACATTTAATCAATAATGATTTAGAAGCATTTTATCTAAGATTTGACCAATATTAAACCAATTTTACATTTCTTATAAGACATTACAGTCAGAAATGCAATCGAGAAGTAGTAATGACAGAACAGAGAAAACACTAATGGTAAAATAACACGATATTTATGAGTGCCCGCAATATACTAGATATGCAACAATAAGGGAGCTGACAGACACGTTCGTACTCTGCAGCATGTAACCGAAAAGAAAGAGAGGATATGTACAGGTCACAACAGGTGCTGTACATGTGACGTAAACCATGTGATCGGAGGTAGCAATCCGTGTCCAGTACCTCCAGGACCACAACATTCCTCCCCATTTTGAAAAGGGTGCCGAAGCCCGTAACAATGGAACAAACTATAATGTAAAGTAAAAATGACTTGTTTCCTAGCAGAAAGAACAAATATGTACAATCCAGCTAGCAAATAGCGATTAATAGCCCTGCATCCGCACGGGAACATCATTTCCCTATCTAGTCGAGACCTACACTGCCGGGACTGCATTCGGGACAGATCTACTGAGGTACTGAATTAGCATAATCCTCGCTAAAGCCCACACACCTAGGATGAAACCTGTCCTGGCAGCTGTCACACTGAACCATTATCTCCTTAGGATTCGGCTGTAAGCAAACAAAATATTGTCTGGTCTTAGTGGCTCTAGGTCGTTTTGGCGACTTTGGCTTAACTGACTGCTCCAATCTTTCCCTCGCCCGTTTACCTGTTTCCATATAAGGACCTACTGATTTCACTGAATTGAGGCTAATGTTTGACTGACTACCGCCCCCAGGCTCTCAGGACCTATTTCTGAGTCCGCGGTCCCAAGCGGCGTAACCACAATGCGTACAAAGGAACTATTCCCATCTCAGTATACTGACTGTCCGGGCAACTTATTTTGATAACTAACCACTTGGGAAGTTGCCTTGCCTCACACTTCTTAAACTTGTCATAGTCCATGACCTTGACCTCGCGCCGAGATTTAACGATAAATATTGTGTCGGATTTGGCTTCTATATTTGCCCCATGACCCTTCCAGACAGTTTCTACCTTTTTAACCGCATTGCGGTGCCAATACACTAAATCGCCGACCTTGAACTTGCGGATACGGATCTTAATGTCATGCGATCTTTTCAATGCCCTCTGTGCAACCTTAAGTTTCTTGTGGGCAATGTCGTGCGCGCTCTGAACATTCTCTTCTAGTTCTCGTAGCGGTTAACTTCACCCTCCTCCCCAGTTTGAAAAGACGTGGAAGGTGGTGGAGTGAACATCAATGTTGCTGGTATATTTGCTTCACGGCCCAGCATTAGACGACTTGGGGTGTAACCTGTATGGCGATTGACTGCCGACCGCAAAGCTATAGCCAATGGACGGAGAGTGGGATCTAACTCATCAGTTACCCCCCCCCCCCCTTCAGTGGACGAAGTCGACGTTTCGTTGAAGAGCTGGGACAATGGGATCAAATCGCGATCGTCTACCTCAGAATTAAGTCATACCAGCGTTCGTGGGCTCGGCAGCAATACCGACATCCACCGCACGGCAAGTCCTCGACCTTAACTTTCGTCACGATCCGCATATTATTCTGGTTCAGCTCTTCCAGCCTTCGAGCGATCTGGTTTTGTGGGTGTTTGGAATTCATCAGCCAGACTAGACTATAGTGGTCTATCCTGACCGAGAACCCTTTTCCCAGCATAAAGTGGCGAAATTGTCTTGTAAATTTTATGACCGCAGCTCCTTACGAGTGGTGTAATACCTGCGCTGTTCTGCGGATAGCACTGCACTCCCATACTCTATTGTCCTTTCTCTCCCACCCTGGACTTCGCTTAATTAATGCCCCGCCTTCAGCATGATCTGAAGCATTAGTATCCAGGATGAAATGACCTGTATTGTTCGGTATCGCAAGCACTGGAGGTTTGGTCATTAACTGGATGAGTTCCACGAAAGCATTATGCTGCTCTTTGCCCCACCTGAAAATTCTCTTTCCGGTAAGCGCATAAAGCGGAGCCACAATTCTGGAAAAGTCAGGGATAAAACTTCGGTGGTAATTGGCGAAACCGCTCTTAACTTCACACGGAACAGGCCAATCACGCACTGACTTAAAATACTGATCCCCCATTTCCACTCCGTGCTCGCTTAAGGTTCTACCAAAGAACTCGACCTTAGTCTTAAATAGTTCACACTTCCGAGGTTTGAATTTGAACCATACGCTCGGAACCGCTCAAACACACATGTTATCAAGGTGAGCGTGTGCTGAAGATCAAAGAACTAGGATAACGTCTAAGAAAGCTAAGGTTAATCTTCCAGTTAAGTCGGCGCAACACCAAATTGATAGCCCTGGCGAACATTGTGTGGGTATTGCACAAACCGAACCCCATTCTAGTAAACTCAATCCATATTCAGTTATGAAAGCAGTCTTCTTCCGTAGGCTCACCGTAGCTATCTTGAACTGCCAGTAAAGCGCGTTAGGGGACAACCATTTCCATTTGATTCTGAGGGGTGGGGGTGGGGGCTGGCAGACTTTGGAAGTAAATGATCTGTCCTTGAAAATAATGAAAATAATCTATCCACCACTGCAAATGAAACAAGAGATGTTTGTAAAACTATTTTTGTGCCTAGTTTTACTCTTAAAATACACGAAAACCCAGAAACTTCGCTCCCTGGATAATCTTCATTCAAACAATGATATGACTAGCATTAATATTATCATACCAAAATGATATGACTAGCATTAATATTATCATACTTTGGTATATAACTAAACAATACCGCAATTATTGTGCCTTGTTTTACTCTAAAAATACCCGAAAACCCAAAAACTTCCGGGGGCTTTGCCCCCCCCACCCCCAGGGCGAAGCCCTGGACCCACTGGGGACCTTAAGGCGGCCCCTAGACCCCTTGCCTGAACGGAGTTTTCTACCACCAACACACAATCTCAATTCCTGCATTCGCCCATAAGTAAAGATTATACCCGCCCGGCCGGTATGACAATGTGCACTCAGTAGGTGTGATGAATCACTTTAAATACAAGCCAATTCTTACGCATCGCTGAAGATAAATTTTCTGAATTATTTGGAGAAATTTACAAAATTCCAAAATTTCGACTAAATTTATCAATTTTAGGACTCCTATTGTTGTGTGTTTTTTCTCATATGGGGTGTCAAAAACCAAGGCGCACGCGGACGCTAAACATAGAAAAAAAACTTGGAATGGTCTGAACTTCTTCCTCCCTTGAAATACAGCAGGAATACGAAGCACCCGCTGTTTAACGGGAGAGCGTCACCAGTGTCAAATCGGTGCTCGATCTCGGAGAAGTTCCCGAGAACAAGTCA